ATTTCAAGTTTGTCTGAATTAATGGGACACATCTTCATAGCTTTTTTGTTTCGAACCGAATTATTTTCATGGACTATTGATGAATGGGCAGTGGCGTAATACCATTGTCTATATCCGAGTGTAACTTATGCCACTGTTTATTCCTACGAGGAACAGATGGTGATGTAAGTTACATCTGGAATTTAGTATGTGTGAAGAGCTGAAATTATAGCGGTAATTGAGCGGCAACCTGGAGCAAGTTAGGACAAAAAATTACATACAGACAGCAAAAGCAAGATAATCTGTTCTTACTTGCTAGCGGCTGAGCAAGCTAGTTTGATTAACACGTTTATTGAAGCTGTCTTCGACATAGAAATGAGATTAGCACAATAACAATTGAAGTCATTGTAATTGACTTCCTGGAGCTAAATTAGGAATCTCTTGGCCTAGCATTATAGACTTTTCCAAAAGTCTTCCATTCTTTTTTTAATTATTCATTTCTGAACATTATGTTTGATTTATGGTTTTGTCATGATTGACCCGATTTTTTTACGATATGAATCAGCGTCATTTTACTATTATATGCGGGTGAAACAATGATTAAATAGGTGTATGACGTTTTCATCATTATTTGCGACTTTTTTTTACTCATCTATTTTATAGATTGCACATGGTACAGCACCATTTGTACAACTGTATCGCTTCAATAACAACGCCTTCCAAAGTATCGGAACAATTGTGTTCGTTTAGTTTTTGAATTTAATTCCGATAATATTTACATTTGCACTTTTTTGCAATTTGAATTAAATTTGGAAAATGGAGAGTAATAAGTGTTTTATGGAATACATAGCACATTTTTCTTCGGATGATGAAATAATAATTAATGATTAAATGAGTTGAAGGGAATTGTGATTTATTGACGCAGTGATTAATTTTGTCTTTTTTGGCAGTGATGGTGTTAAACTCCAACTTATCATAATTTTGATGTAAATTGCACACTATTGCCGATACACAAAGCAAAAGTAGAGCACAGAATAACTACCGCTGTGGAGGGCACTTCTTTTTGATTAAATAAAGCAAACACTAAAATATACAAGAAAATATCTGTCCTATATGTTGTAATTATTACTATTTATCCAAATTCCAATATAATGAAATGTCGAAACACTTGTTAAAAGAATTGATTCGTTTCAGAACATCATCGGAGGTTCAAGTGCAAGTGCCGTGTTCCAGTTTGTTATTCCGCCGATCATTTGAATTTTTAATACGAAAGAAAAAAGGAATTGAAAGGTATCATCTTTACTAGTATTTTCGTTTAAATCCAACAAATAAAATATATCGGATTAATGTGTTCCGCTACAATGTCATTTTTATCGTTCTTATCTAATCTATATTATTATTACATATGACTTGGCGTAATAAAAGAGTGGATAAACGGATTATTAAGCAAATGAACAATTGAATGAGTAAGAATTGCCTTTATGTAGTGGTCTTCACATTTCTTATAGTATTGTGTCATTTCTTACTGAATGATTTATTGATACTGGTAAAAGTTTTTTTTTTTTTTTTTTTAATTGATTAATTTCTGGAAACATGAAGGCGGTTCAAGAATTGAAAGAGAAGTACAAAGCATAGCTGTTCATTCTTTTTCCAATCTCTCCCTTGTATGAACCTTGAAATTTCAAAACTGTTGTGTAATTTTTTTTTCTATCCTTTTTAAACCTTTAATTTACATGACCCTCTATTGTAATCGCAATGCAAATAATAATAGTTAAATTTAATTGAGTCATGGAATCGCATTTTTCAAAAGTCTTGACCGAGAGAACTGAATACAACATTTGGATGGCTAGCCCAATACTGTAATCTGAATTATGCTATTAGTAGGACAGGACCGCTACCATTAGTATTTCGTTGAAGAGATTGGTGATTGTTCATTTTAGTTGCTACCAACACTCGAGTGAAATTGCTTTAAATATCCGGAAATATTTGTGATGAATTTTTTAACTTCTTTTTCTCTGTTTTTTGGTACTGATCTTTTATTTATTATAAAGATCTTATAACTAAAAATGAGATTTCGTATATAGTTACTCTTATAAATATAAGACATTTTAATTTATATAAGCAATAAATATGCAGCATTCAATCATATTTACTTAGTATAAAATTCTGATAAAGGATCGAAAAAAATGCAGTGACACGGAGTCTATCTTTTGATACTACCTGTACGACAACCAGAAAGAAATATCTTAAACGAATCTCAGATCTGGATATTACACCGATAATCGTACAAGAAATGGATGACAGAACTCTGGTTAACTTAAATGGTGAACGCATAGATTTTAATTTGAGGTTCATTAATTTTTTTTTTTTTCATTAAATTATTTAAATATTGGGTCTTTGCAAATTCTGATTTGTGGTTCAACTATGTTTAACCGTACCTGATTTTGAGTCACTTCAACTTTTCGAGAGAAAGAGATAAGTAATTCCCTTATATAATATTTATGCATGGAGTTCTTCATCCAAAAATATTGATAAAAACAAAAATTTGATTATAGGAAATCATCGGAAGAAAACAGCAGTAGCTCCAAGTTAGTTAACAAGAAAGTATTCTGTTGTGAAGCTACATCTGCTGTAAGCTATTTCATTTGGTTCTAACCATTCCATAATATAGTTAAGTATTATTCATCAGGGAAATCCCAGGGATGCTTCTCTCAAAAAATGCGCTGTAACTCTTTTCATGATTTTACTAATCTTCGTGCAATTATGCATCATAAATTGGTAAAAAATAAATGACGTATTGATGACAATGAAGCTTTAATCGGTAATATTTCCAGGAGGTTGAGAATTATGTTGATGCGGATAAATCACAAGAAATCAGGACTTTACGTAATATTAATAAAATTGTAGGTCTCTATTTCTATCCTCGTTTATTGATCAGTCAACACGAAGTTCCATTTGTGCTTTGCCGTTTTTCTTAATTATTTTCTTTTGTGTTTTACTCAACGCATTATGAATCGTTCGTTATCTTAGGATGAATTCTAAATATTTATGAAGCGCGATGTGTTTTGAAAATAAAATTATTAGCGTTTTTTAGCATCGATTAAAAATTATTATTTGATGTTTTAAGAGTTGAAATTGCCGTCACGAAGAATTCCGTAGAAGAAAGAAGGAATGAGAAAGTCGCAAAGTAGAAAATGAAAAGTTGAGTGGTTTTTTGTTAGTGAATGATTTTTATGTTCTAAGCAAATTTTCAGTTAGCAAGAAAATTGGCTAAAACAGAACGAATAGCACAGTTGCTTCAAATACAGCTTAAATTTTATGACAAAACAAATGACGCTAAATTTGCGTGCAGGTTGGCTGGTAAGATTGCTTTTTAATTGCTTTCATAGTTTATTTATATGTCCTTAGGTGTTGAATTACTGGTTTATCGAGTTTACACTAATAGATTTGATTTTTTGTTAAAATTTTGGTTTTATTTTGAAATTAATATGACTTTTTGTTTCATTTTTTGTTTGGAGCATAACGATTGAGCAAAATGAGTAAATATCATTGCGTGGTTGTTGGTCATTTCATTTCCACTGATGATAATCTCTGTTATAGATGTCATCGATCAGCTGAAATTAGTACCACCCGACGATCGATTTCGTGATGAAGCTTTAGAGGTTAATGCTGTTTTTAAAAAGTTCTTATATTTACAAAATATTATTAAATTAAAGAAAACCACTCATTGTTCATGTTGTAACATGATCAGTTCTATACTTTAATGTTTCTTTTGTAGGTTTTGAATTCTGCGAGTCCATCCATTGGCGCTAACGATGAAAAGTCTGTATTTTTGAATAATTTATTGAAAGAAATTGAGTACGACAAATCAGCGCTTTTAAATTCCGGAACTTTGCGAAAATGCTATGAACGATTAGTTGAATATGCTCGTAGACATCCACCCGTTCTTATGGAACTACAGAATCAGATAAATGAAGTAAGAATTTCTTTGTTGGATTAACGACATTCAATGTTTTCAACTGTTCCTTGTCTATGAATTATTTAGCTCTCTCACTAATGCATTTTTAGCTCTCTCACACTGACTATGAATTATTTAGCTCTCTCACTAATTATTTAGCTCTCTCATTAATTTATCTTTCACATATTTGGAATGAATCGAACGATAGGCTTCAGGTTTTCATAAGGAATATAACTTTTCGTGTATATATTACGACAAATTGGTCTATATGTATTAAAATTTTTGACTGAAAAGAAAAGATTCTATAAAACGGTTTTTGCCTTTATAGTTTTGAATTATTTTGTTGAGTGTCCTGTCCGCTAGCTTAATGAAAGAAAGGAATCTTTTACTATTAGAGAATACATATTGGCTATTAAAATGTTGTTTGACTATATAAAATATATCATCCTTCACTAATCATCTCTTGTAATGCTGATATATCAGGAACCAAATAATGACAAATCTAATAAAGTCATTAATTTGGATTGTCTTTTGGTGGAAATCTGTTGTTGCTGTTGTCATCTAATCAGATTTAATAGAGAGAAGGTGTGACAAATTCTTTTATTAGGCATATACCGGTTTAACAATCTTCTTATGTTGTAAAATTTGTGTTAATCACTTTGAAGGTTTAAAAAATCTTTTTGCTTAATCAGGACAAAGGGTGCGAGAGTAAATAAGAAGATTCTTGTCTTCAATACATAACAACAAAAATGTTTTACCATTTCTGTTTATAACGCTTTCAATTTATGGAAGGTTAAAATTTTCATCTGTTAACATTATGACTGTCTCAACTCAGTGCGCTTTGATGTTCGTTTGAGAGTATTGCAAAATTTTCCCGTTATAGATAGAGAAGAATCAGCATGAAAAAAGTTCAGAACCAGTATAGGCCAACTAAGTTTAACATCTTTCGTTTTAGATATTTGTTTGTATACTTGCCTAACTGGCACATGAAATATCAGTAGCAACTGTTTGTATCTTTATCTTTCGTTCTATAATTGCCTCGCAAATTTTCTATATTTGGTCGCTGATTTCTTATTTCCCATAACACTATTATACTGTCTCTATGGAATTTTCCTCCATGATGTGAAGTAATTGTCATTTTTAGTTTTAGATTGGCGAGTACTGTAATCATTACTAGAATTCGTTTTTATTACTAAATTTTTTATTACTAAAAATGTAAAAAAAAACATTATTGTTTGACTGGATAACTAATAGTTATCTCCATTATCAAAGCAAAGCTATCAAATACACATTGAAATCATGCCATCTGTTTAATCTCTCTGAATGCTTTTGCAAAACTGTCAACAAGAGTTTCTAAATTCATGTTATTCAATTAGGAGCAAATCCAAAGAATGCAGTTTTTTTTTTTTGCTTTCTTCGTTACATCATCTTCATGTTTACTAATATCTTGTGAAAATTGACATTCGCCAGTTCAACTGTTGTCTCCTCTCTATTAACCAGATTGTTTATGAAACAAGTAAAAAAAAACTTCCTACTTATGAAAAGTAGGAAGTTTTTTTTACTTACATACTTTTGAATAAAGTTGCTATGCCCATTGACATTGATTTGTTAGAACATTTGGATAATTTCAAGAGTGACTGATAGGTAGCTGATGCTCTGTTCCATTTTTTCAGTGTTATTAACGATTTCATGGTACTGAACATAGTTATTCATGCATGAGGTTTACCTCTAACGTCATTAAACAGTAATAGATTATCCTATGATTCACATATTAATCAAATAATCGAAATATTGCTTATGAATGAGAATAGCATAGCTATCATACTGCTAGTTTAAATTTAATGACTAGATGGCAAATCAATGCAGATGTGTGAAGAATACAATCTGCAAAGAATCTAATTAGAGGAAATGTGAAGTTAATTGTTCAAGTTAATGGTATGATTAGGATAGACAATGCTAGTCTTATTTTTACTATAATTTGTTACTATAATTACTAGAAGATTACCATTTATGATTAATTATCTCAATCAATGAATCTCTTATCGATGAAATTCTCGAATCTTGGGATAGTCTTATAGTTATAGAAAGTGGCTATTGCATTATTGATATACATATACGTTAAGTGTAACATTTTATTTAGAAAGCCATCATTCCTACTAAGTTCATTGGTTATAGGATGAATTCTGAGGAGGAACAATGAAATGAATCTTACCTTTTTTTTGTTGCGCTCTTTTTTTTTCGCGATCATTTAAATGATCTGTTTTTATTAGTCCAGTGCCGATTTATTTTCGATTAAAATGTTACTCTCATAAAGTGCTATTTATCCTTAAATTTTCTGGAACCATTTAAAAAAACTGGTTTCTATGTCCGTTGCTTTTACACCACCATTTAAAACTGATGTCAATTGGTGCACACACACACACACACACACACACATCTAATGTGAGCGTTGCTGTTAACACAATTTATCTCTGTTTAGTTTGTGCGTTATTTCGTGTTATGTGGGAGTTATGCCCATACTTTAGCAGTTTTTCATTTCACAAATTTGCTTCATTTGCTTGATAGAAAGTTATCATATCTTTTATAATATTATATCTTCCATTATCATATTTTTCATATTGATTTATTGTTTTGCTCTTTGAAAAATCATTTTCGCACGCAGTTTCAATTGAAAAATATTGTAAATTTTCTTTTAAATAGATTTAAAAATTTAAGCCTAACAATCCTCTTCCCATTATGTTTATACCATTTTTTGGATACATATTTTGAACCTAATGAATGTAAGCCAGGAATTATTCATGATTTTCATTTTACTTAAAAAGTAATTTACAACAAATCTCTTATTTTTGTCTTACATTTCACAAATTTGCTTGATATCTATATTGATTTAAATTTTTAGGATAATTGTTTACAAAATGAGATATCGCGATCTTATTTCGTGGAAATTTATTTTCTGCCAGAGGCTAACATATGTATTAATGCAAAATTTTTAAGTTTTCCAAAAGCTTTTTCTCTGTCTTTATTGCTTCTTTTAATCTTAACTTCCACATTCAATTCGTAATTTTTCATACTCATTCAGAAATTCTAATGTGATTCTTTTTTTCAACAGAATCGTATCCTACAGTTCAGAAACAACGTTGAGGATGAAATAATGATGAAAAATACTCAAAATGGGAATATAATTGATGGAAGCTGCGAAAATCATCAACGTCAGGTGATATTCTGGTTTTTTAAGGAAATAACTCTTATATCTAAAATAAATATTAGATCTGAAGAAAAAAGGGACATCTGGACTTTGAATTAGTTTATTTCAATACCTAAAAATTCGATTTTCTCTTGAGAATACAAGAATGTATTTTGTAAACTTCAGTTTTCTGCTTTTTTATATTTTAGTGGATTCAATTATGCAAAGAAAATGTATTCATACATAACTATTTTTGCTTTTTTACTTGACTTCGCGAAAGATTTTGTCACCCATGTTCAATTCAGATCACATCACTGGAAGCAAATTTGATGCTATATCGTGAACAATTGGCAATGAAAGATGCGCGACTTCGGCAACTTGAAGAAGAAATTGGTAACGCTCATCGATGTGTAAGATTATTTTTGATTATATTTTGTTAAATCTGAGATATATTAAAGTAGAAAGACAGTCATCATAATTTTACTGTTCTTTTTTTTTTCATTTCCATATTAAACAAATGATTTTTTCATATGTGTTAGACAGCAGTGAAGAAATTCTTTTAAATTCTTTTAAAAAAGAAAAATGTTGGAATTCTCTCCTTTTGCAGTTAATTTGGAAAAAGTTAAGCGAGTGCAAGTATTACTGATAACATCGAAATGATATCAGTTTACTTCGTATGAACTACCGTTAATTAGTTAGCGATAATTAAGATTTTTATATCAATTCATATTATTTTTAAATTCATCTCTAATTTAAGAACAGAAGAACATTTTTTTTTTCCTGCAGAATCAACAGCTAAATGCAAAACTTGGTTCGATGGTTACTACGAATAATGTCAATTTTCTAAATCAAGAAAAAGAACTCAAAGTAAGTTTAATTTCTTACAAATCATGGAAATTATATCGTTATTCTTATTGAATGAAATTAAGGGCGCGATATGTACCATTCATTGCTTACTTTATCCATACACATGTTTTTATTATTTAAACTTCGCTGTCGTTCTTAGTTTATATCTTAGGAAAAGGAAGGGTATGGGTAAGCCTTATATCTTAGAAAAAGAAGTTTACTTTGTATTTCAGTATTACCGTGAAACAGAAAGCCGTATTAATTTTATTTTTTGTTTACATTTTTGGAATTGTGAAAATTAATACGCTTAATGTAAGGTACAATGCCATGATATGTGGCAAGTTTTTTTGACTTGAAATTGTTAAAACTACAGTAGTGATATTTGTAGAACAAGCATAATGCTTGAGTTGTAATTCGTATTAAAATATGCTTTATTGATCATTTATATATTCAAAATATTTCAAATTTCTCTTTTTCATTTAATATAGTGCAGCAGTTTACAAATATCCATTTTCCATTCAATTTTTACAAACACTGAATTATTATTTATAAAAAGAATTATTATTTATAAACAGCGTAAAATTTGCCGATTGGAAGTTTCAAATTTCATTCCATTCTAACTGCTGCTGCTTGCACAAATTCGATACAATAAACTCTTTGATAACCTTAAAATTGATATATTCAGCATGTAATTTACATTTGTTCCTCATTTTTATCATGACCCCTCTCTTTTACTTTGATTAGAAAAAATTCAACTTGACTGAGACAATTTGACTTCATTCTAAGCTGAAATTTATTGGACTTAATCATTGCGTTGAAATTTATCTTCAGTTGGACTAAGATGTTTTGTCTTGCGAAAGGTTTAATTAGAACAGATAAATTGATTGTGATATTTAAACCTTTTTTTTAAGAAAAGGTTTTTTAAATAATTTCTCTAAAAACTACACCTGTTCTAAGATGCGAGCAACCTTGCACCATATTTGTTTTATCCAAATATCGTTTTCATCTAGTTTGATGGTGATGATATTTGCAAAACCTAAAACACTTAATTTAAAATCTGGCTAATCATAAAGATCATGGAATTTTCCCAATTTCTGAAACTGTGCTTCAAAATATAATTTTTGACCGACGAAGTGAATTTTTAAGATTATTCGATATTTTCAAATCTATTAAACATATCTCTTCATTCATAAATAATAAAATAAGTTTTTAGAGGTAAATATTTTGTCATCCTGATTAGTGATAATATGATAAATAGATAATATAGTTTTATAAGAATGAATCTTGACGGGATGACTAAGAAGATGAAACGCGTGATAATATGGAAATAAAAATATATTTTTATAGAAATAATTGTATATTTATCATGCTAAAAAAGAATGTATTCAGTCAGATTTTCAAGTGGAGAATGGACGAAGGAAAATTTAGTTCTTCAGAAAAAATTTTGAAACCTGCATTGGCTTACCTTCATTGAAAGCCAGCCAGAGGGTTCGTGGACTTTCACTTAGAGTACAGCATAGGTAACAGTAAGAGTCCAATGTGTCAATTAGCTCTGCTAGTCCACTTTTCCTATCGTATGTGGCTATTATTTTATCCACTGCCTGCATACAGTAATAGATCGTTATGATAAATCATTAATTTACATTGCCGCAAAGAAATATTCCGGCTTCCACAAGAACTTTTCAAAATAGTAACTATTTCTTAATATTACTCGCTATCTACCAAATATGAAATATCTCCAAAATATTAGTTACTGAAAATTCCGTAATTCATCTCCAATCTTTTATCACTCAAACTTACATGAATGGTCTGATCGGCAATTTCTTTCAATTTGTGTATATGCTTCTTTGTTTTGGGTATTTTCTGACAGTAATATTGGAGTGCTTTATACATCTATAATTACTCTTCATTAGGTCCTAGAATTTTTTTTCAAGCTTTATTACAGCAGATAGGATGAAATATGAGAGAAGCTTGACGATTTTGAAATATTTAAATTATATCAGCTGTTGACATTGGAGACTTTTTCGATATACTTTTCAAATGAGTAGGAAGTAAAAAAAACTTAATTGTATCAAAATTTAATTCTTTTGAAATATTACTGCTAACCAGCGTGTTACACTTTGCGATATTTCCATCCTCTTCCATATATTTCGTTTGAATTTGTCGCCAAATGGTTGTTAGAGTCTCCATTTCACTTTTTGATATGCATTTTCGAAGGTAATTTTGTCGTTGAGTTGCAAGTCCATCATTGAAATGTCTTTGAATTTCCTCGAAGAACTAAAAATGATGCGCTTTATTGCACACTATTAAAATTTTTTAATATAATTTTTTTCTGTTGGAAAAGCTAAACAGCAGAGAAAACTAAAAACGTTGACATTCGCTAACAATCGCAAAAGATTATAATTCCAGAATACTTCGACGGCAGCTGTTTTGATATTTTAAAAAAACTGTAAAATAAATGAAGGAATGAAAGATATGTTTATGTTCTCTACGAGAGTACAGTCAACCGTATTCTAAATAAAAAGCTAGTTTATTGTTATTGTTAAACTATTTTTGAATAAGTTTGAGAGAGATTGATTTTTAGTATTAACTTGCCTTTTGCCAACTTTTCACTTGTTTCTCATCCATGCTATCTTTGGCTACATTACATAAAGCTGTCATCATCGACTTACATATTACCTGTAATAGAGCTATTCAAAAGGAGAACCTGTAGGTTTGACGGTTGGATTTGCGAATCTGAGGAGCAAGAAGAATCAAATCAGCTTCTATGATGGAACTACTGATTTGGTCAATTTTTTGAGTCATATAAGCACAACTTTGGTAGTGATAGGCAAAATGAAAGGGTGAGTAATACTTTTTAGAGCAAATAAGGTGAGACTTCGATCCTGCCTTTCGAATCCTACAGTTATGATTTTCATGACTGTCTTTTTTTCTTCACTTTTCATATCTTTTCTATCAGTAAAATTTCATCTTTCTGTTCAACTGATTATTCTTCGATAAATTTTTTATTTGCTGAAAATCTAATCTGATTATCAATCTGAACTTTTCCTCAGTATGTAGTTCATAAACGTTGTAGAAAAAATGTCGAGCTCCGATGTTACGAATGAATTTGCACATATCACGTGGCTCATCCACAGATTCCATGATCGTTTTCAGTGCTGCTTGGAAATAGCTGCAGTAATTACTGAAATACACCATTAATTTTAGCAATTTTTGGCAAGCAAGACAGAATAAGATAGTTATGTTAGTTTTCATCTGTTTAGGATCTTTTTATAATAGCGAAACCAACTGAAATCTTTGATCATTATAAAGCTTTTCCTTTTCGTAATTTCTTCCAAAACTCCAAAGTAGTCGCATCGATTCGAATTTTTCGATCACATGAACAATTGTTAACTGGATTATTTCAAGCTATAAAAAGTAAAATTTTGAAATTAGTTGGACAATTTAAGGTTAAAAATTGTTGGATGATAATTATCCCGTTATAACTACTTGCAAGTCAAATTTAGCAAGTTGTATCCAATGACATCGTGCTTTTTGTAAGTCGGTAAATGATGTTATCACTTCCTCTTCTAATGTATTGGCGTCGTTGATTTCATTTTCATTCTGCAAAAATCAATCTTTCTATCATTTCGTAAGTCTAATTATTAATCTACATCGGCGCATTTATTTGATTTTTATTATTGGCCTTCATACAGTCGTAAATTTTGCGAAAGTTTCAGCTATAATATTGTTATAGAAAGAAAAAAGTATCAGTTAGATACATGTAAATGTTATTCGAATTATTAAGAAAGTTAAGCTTTAAGCTAATTTTATTAGTCTCACTCATTTGATATCTCTTCAGTTATATTATTTTCTATATATTATGATCGAATAATTATAAAAAGTAAATTATAGAAATGTTTGCATATCGTTATGAAATGCTACTTCTCTTGTCTAATGAAGATATGCTATCGGTTATAAATTTCCTTTTTTTTTTGCTTATTAAAGATTTTGTTGCAAATAATTTTATGAAGTCAAAAAAGTTTCAAAGAAACAAACCAATTCATGTTTAACCGCGGAAACCGCATTTGCGAGAACTTTTTTAATTAGCTGAAATTTTAAATGTGTTTAAAAAGCCATAGTAAAACAACTAATATTTAGAGAAAAGGAAAAGAATCACTCAACATATTAAAAAAAATCATTAAAAAAAAATTTTTTTCTTGAAAGGTATCGTAACATGAAATACGGATGAATCATTCTGAATATTTTAGATGGTTATAGTCAAAAAATCATGTCTATATTTGTATGAAGAAATCGACATCGTTATGGAAAACATTTAATGTGTTCATGCAAATCTTAACCTAACTTTCATGATTTCATTACTAAAGATGTATAGAAGGGATACAACGAAAACATAAATTTGTTGAGTGATTCTTTTCCTTTTCTCTAAATATTAATTGTGGGTGTTTATATATCTGGAAAAGTTATTTTTTCCCCAAAAAAAATTTTAAAAAAATAACTCTCATAAATGAAAAACCGATGGTAATAAAAGAAAAAAGAAAGTAGGAACTTACCGGATTTATAAGATTTTCGTTATCCATATTTGCTTATGCTAATACAGCAGGAGAAATGAATACGTGCTATCTTTAGCGATTTAGCTTTGAGCATTTTAAATCCTTCATTAATTATTAAAAGGAAATCTCATCTCTTAAATTGGATTTTTTGCCTAGCATTTAATCAAAAAGAAATTGCTTTTAGAAGTAGATGTTAAATATTTCTTATTACATATGTATATGTTAATAATTATTATTTTATGGAAACATTGCAGATCATTCCACGTTTTAAAGAGATCTTTTACATTTCTCAATAAATGATGAATAAAAAGTAAAACAGTTAATTTTGTCATATTCATTCTTGATCTTTTCATATATTTAACATGCCATCTTCCTGAATATTGCTTTACTGAATATATCAGTAAAGCAATCAGTTTCGAGTTTGTTGACACATAACGAACTGACCATTGTCTAATTTAGCCTCTGCAAGATCAATTTAAGAAATTTACCTGTCTTTTATAATAATCTTAGGATTAAAAAGTTGCGAAGAGAAGGATGGAGAAAGGATAAATAGAGAATTAAGCGTTATTTCCTGAAAACTAATACTTATTTTCTTTCTCTCTTTGTTTTGCTCACACGAGCAATATATGTGTTCGTTTAATTCGAAAAAATAATCGATAGTGCTAATTTTGTTCGAATTTCCTGTGATTAGTTTCGAAGATTCTAAAAAGTTCATAAGGATTGCTGAAAGCCATAGATAGTAAATCTTCTATCATTTTTTGATATGTTCGATTTATGTAACGAAATTATTAATCAGTTTTGTTAAATTGTCACTGAGAACTTGGATGATATTATGTTACGTTAATTTTTCCTTTTAGCCTAAAAAGCAATATTTAGAGTGGTGAATAAAGGCCTAAACGAAATAATGTCAGTGATTTTGCTATTTGATATGCTTCAATTAATCAAAGTTACGGGTTTTGATTGAATCAATTCATGTTAATAACATTTGATTGCAAGCTAAGAATAGCCATCTTAGATGATTTATATAAATGAAAATTTTAAAAACACACGTTGAAAATTATATGGTACAGATGTTTAAGTTATTTTAATTATAGTCATCATTAATATGCTGATGAAACATTTGAAATATTGGCTAAATTTTGAAAGATTTATGAAGTTTACCGAAATTAAGATAAGTTTGAATTTATGAAATCAGTTTTCTTTTCATAAAAATTTTTATCATAAAATTCTTTTCATAAAAATTTTATCATAAAATTCTTACTGCGAGATAATCTTAGATTGAAAATTTTGGCGTTAATTTGTTTTGTTTCCTGAGATAATTTTCAAATCATGATTGTGTAAAAAATTCGCAAAATTATATTTTCTTCTTCTATTTAATTGATCAGCGATGCAGTTATTCTCATGGTTACTGCAATTATTACTGTGATTACTGCAATCATTTTGTAATTGCTGCAATTTTTACTGCAGTCATCGATATTGTAGATTTTGTTAAGGACGGCGAAGAATTGGTTTGCTTAATTTGTTTGAAATTGCTTCATTTTTGATCGGCTTAATGCTTTATCCATCCAACTTTCCTTGTTAGGTGTATATTATTTAAGATTATGGAGCAATGATTTGTTTGGCAAATTTTTTTTTCAAAATTTCAGTAGGACTTTCATTCCATTAAAGTTTTTCAGTTTTTGTTTATCACTAATGTTTTTAAATTTTACTGGCATTTTTTTTTCACTGTTAACAATTTTGAGCCTTATAAAGGAGGAGATAATAAAATACCATTAGAAAACAGTTTCCAATTGAGAATTACAAAATGTTGGAATAAAATGATACGTTAGTGCTGTTTTAGACATTTTAAAATGTTACTTTAACGAGATCGAAGTTTTTACTTTCAGATTATAAGTAGAGTAAGTGATTACTGTATTGGCATATAATTCTTAAAGTACAATATAACAAATAGGATAGTGATATGTTAACATCGACGATAACGATATCACTATGCTATTTGTTATATTGTCATATTTTACTGGCATTATTGTGATTGACACTTTGTTAAGACTGTCATTATAAAGATCTTCACTTTATATCATGTTTTATTTTATTCCTTTCAGTGTTTCTTTTTTCTATGATAAATGGTAGTAGTGGTGTTATCATCTTATCACCAGATTGTTTCCTTAAAACTTCTATGTGTTTTATTTCATCTAACAGCAATAGTTTCTTATATTTTAGCTATGGATGACTGATCACCATAATGTACCATAATCGATTGTATTATTGCTTGGTTCTTCTCATTCTTCTTCCGCTATCAATTCTTCTCCATTCGTCTCTCTTCGAATGCTTGATGTTTAATTTGTTGATTCATCACAGTCATCAAGCCATTTTGTTCATCAATCAGTAAGTGGAAAAAAATATTTCCATTTTTCCTAAATTTTTGTTGCTGCTAAAAATTTAACTTTCGTTTCTTTTGCTATTTCTATTACTAGCATTTTGAGAATTTTTTGCAAATAATATGTTAAAAAAGTTCACTGAAAAATTCACTGGAGGAAATGAAGTATTATTATTCTTTTGAAAAATGATCATTAATTATTGATTTTTGTATCTAAGAAATAATGTAACAAAAATTTTCTGAGTAAGATAAAATTCTTCTGATATAATTTTCCAGACTTCGATAGGGATTAAAAAATTTGTTTTGTTTTACACCACAAGAAAATCATATTGCTCCGATACAATCTTAACATGTTATTTTTTCTAGAAAGCACTTGAGTCATTTTTTATTTATCTTCTAATTTAATGCGTTTTTATCTGTTTTTTTTAGTTCTGAATCTTTAGATAACATGTAATTTTCTTGAATGAATTTTATTTTTATTACAGTTGTAGAATTTCTGACTTCGACTTCCATCAAGAAGCTATAAGCTATCAATTAGTTCACAACATGATCGACAAATTTTTCACAGTTTTTTCCCCTTTCAGCGGAAATCGGCCAGTTTAAAGGATATCAGCGTAACAACTATTGAAAGTTGTTCACAAATAGATGTCTTTTATTTCTCAAAAATTCAAAGGTCGACACGATGGAATGCACCTGATAATTAATCATTAATCATCATTACCGTACTCGAATGCCAATCCCCCTAAAACTACATTTTTCCTTCTGAGTCTTTGTCAATTCACATCAAATCTCAAATTTTTTTTAAAAAATATTACTAAAAATTTGTAGTGATTTGAAGGACATCTGAATAGTCAAAAATTTAATATTTTCGAGATTAAAACATAATATTATTTTAGTTTACTCTGTGAATATCAATAGATTCGACAAAGTTCTCATTTTAGTAAGCGATTATAAATTTGCAAATTGAAAAAAGGTTCAGGTGTTGCAGTTTCATTACATATTTGGGAATAATTTTGTGCTATCAACATTCTCAAATAATTTTCTGTTATTAACATTCTCTTGATTTCACATATCGTATGAGAAAAGAAACTCGGAAGAATATTTTAGTGTTGTAATTTTATTGGCGAAATTTCTCTAATGGCAAATTTTTTTCATAGATCAGATAAGCTCTTTCATGATTGTTCTAGGCTTTGAATCAGACAGCGCAAATTGGACTAAATGAACAAACCGAAAATTGGATAAAATGAACCAAGGTTTAGTTTTATTGCAGATAAGATCAAATTGTTTAGTAAACTTTAGAGATGCAAAAAGATAAATTTAGGTTGTATTAGAGCTACTGTTGAAAAAAAGTGGTAATATATATACATAGCGATGGAAATGGATTTTTACTTTAAGATCATCCATCTTATATAAATGAACCATCAATCTATTTTAAAATAATGCCATCCATATACGCTTATTAATCCTTTATAGTGATAATTTTTTTCCTACCATTTACAAGTAACTTTTAATCCTTAAATCTTTTCATTCAAATTTTCTGTTCCACATTATGCTCATTGTTATTCACTTCAATTTAATTTCAAATCATCCATGCACAGATAATCAACGAAAATTACT